ATCTGCCGAGGATTGGAAACAAAATGTGCTTTAATTTTGTTAGTGGAATGATGTTTATAATATCTTGATTTCAGAAATAGATGGTTATAAAAGTTATATATTTTAGATTTCTTTTCTCCCATGTTTGGGTTCCGTTCTCCGTGTTTGGACTCCTTTTCCCATTTTTGGGTCTGTCGTATCTTCCGTCGTTATAATATTTGTCTGATGAATGATAAAAACCAAAATCTTTAGATGGCAAACAACAAAAAAAAATTTCCTTTTTCCCGTGTGTGAAAAGGATTTTGCAGCAGCCTCTCTATAGTAGTAGGTGTAATAGCATTATCATTTATGATAATCAACTTGTATAGTGTGCCACTAAATTTGTGATCACACCATATTAAATTTGACCCATAAAGTACCAAAGCCATGAGATTTTATGAGAGTTGATTGTGATGTTTTGAAAAGAAAAAAAAATCAATCAAAAAAAGTGTGGAGAAATAGCAATAATATGTTCTACCTAATAGTTTTTCCATTGGTCGAATTATCGTATGATTCGAGAAATCACTCCAATGGTTTCACTAAAAACCGCCGTGTCCTTTTCTATTGGTCATAAATCATAATACTGTTTTGTTTTTGTGAGTCCACTTTTGTTTTTGTGTATTGGTTATGAATTTATGATTGATAATTCTCAAACATGTGATATGTTTTTATTCAACTTATACAAAAATACAATTTTAAAGACATTCTGTCATTTTCTGCATTTAATGGACATATAAAAAATTCAATAATCGTAATATTTTACTTCTGTTAAAGAGGCAATGGAATAAAAAAGAAGAAGGTAATATTAGTTTTTGACTTTGAGTTGCTACTTACTGTAGTTTTTTCTTTCTTTCTACAAATTGTGCGAGTTTCTTAGAAAATGGGCTTCTAAAGGAACAGTGAATAGTTTATTGGGCCTAAAAGAGTGGCATGTGCCGTGCATGCCTGGTACTAAACCAATTCCGGTTTAATCAGTCAACCGAAATGTAGTCAACCATAATAAGACTCAAATCCATTGAATATTCTTAAACCAGAATTCCGGTTTACATAGTATCCAATTGGGATCATACGTGTCTTGGCCAATCACATTACAAAGACGATCACTAATTAGAGAATTAATGGATACTTGAAAAATAAATAAAACGT